CTAATTTATAGAGTTCATAATTATACCACATATGTGGGGGGAAAAATCCAACTTTTCATGTTTAATATGTAATGTTATTACAGAAGGAAATTAGACAACTCAAGGGCACCATTTTATGTATTTTAACCTTTTTTTTTTCTTTTTTAGTTTTATTTCATTCTGTGATCAACCGTGCTTTAACATTTTCTGAATACCAGGTGATTTTGAGGATGATTTGCTTTCACAAATCAATTTCATAGATATCTTGGGTCTAAAATGTGCAGTATGCTGATGTACTAAATGCAGTGGAATTTACTGAGCAGTTCAAAATCAATATTAAAAGTAATTTGCGGGAAAAAAGGAACAAAAGATGTGATGCAGGCTTCATTTTCATTCCGGTACCATCTTTCCTCTCTTATACCTACTCTTCCTTGGATAGAAGAGAAAATATTTCTCCGACGTTCATTATTTCTCACTTAAGCTTTTATTGCCTCATTGGTTGGACTGTGATGCCTCTGTGATTAAAGCTCCATAATGAAGTATCACATTAGGAGGTTGGAACTAAGTTTAACTTAGTTAAACTCCAGGGACATTATATCACAGCAGCTCCATTTTCACTACGGCTCAACAAATGACATTACGACAGCAGTTGTGGAACAATTTGAGCTATTAATCTGTTTTATTACCAGACTGTCAAAATATTGTGACTCTCATTGACAAAGAACTGTTGAATGCAATTTGAATATATGAAGTACGTTCCCAACCTCAAACCCAAAATCAGTTTTAAATGGATATCAACGCAAGGAGAAGACTCAGCTCTATAAAGACTCATAAAGAAATAACTAAATTAAAGCTGCAGTAGTTTATCTCCTCTTCTTCCCCTCGTTCCTCTTTCACTCACTTTAAATATCACTCTTTATCCCTCCCTCTTCTCTTCCTCACCTTCTATAACCCTCCCCCTCTCATCTGAAACTCTTCTCCTCATTTTTGAGGCGGTGTTGCTTGTGTTTATGCTTTAGTGTGGGGTTTGATTGAGACAATCCATCTGCCAAGCGGCTGTCATTGGCTCTCAGGAGTTTTTTAATGTGTTGTGTCACAATGCTGCATCTTGTCTCTCTGTGTGTGTGTGTGTGTGTGTGTGTGTGTTTCCACTAGTATAACAGCTGTTTCCAGCCCTTTTCGAAAGAGTAAGTGAAAGTGTGTGTGTTTATGAGAGAGAGGGCCAGGTGCAGAGGACATATAACAACTCCTTGTTTCTTTAGAAATCCATCAGAAATCTCATACCATACATAAATACCAGGGAATTACAAAGGCTCACATTACTCTCAATTACTGTCGAATCTTTCCTTTCAAATATCTAACCTATGTCCTCTGGTATACATAATTAACAATATTTAAGAAGTCAACCCCTAAACAGGTATTACACAGTTGAATTTCACTTCAAACTGAGTCTTCGGCGGCTTTTCTGTTTTTGTCTTCAATTCTTTCGTTTTGCTTTTCATTACTCTTTCAATTACTTTAAACTAGATTCCATGCGCATGAGCCAGGAAGCAGTTCTCATTCATTACATCTGTTTATCTCTTTCCATCTTCTCTGTCTCTCTTTCACACACACCCATACACTCACAGAGACCACCAGCCTCCTCATTTGGTCTTAACTCCTCTCCAGCTGTGTGCCAATTTGCCTCCTCCAGAGAGAGTACGTGGTGTTTGGGAGGGGGTGATTAGGAGCTCGCACTAAATTTAAGCTAAGGTTTGCAGTGTGTGTGTGTGTGTCTGCGTGCATGCCAGTAATGGGTTCCATCCATTACCCCATAATCCCCAGCTGCTGTGCAGTGCTGACTGGGTTCCTGGAGGGAAGATTCCAAACTTGCCACCGGATTTACAGTGAATTCCCTAAAGATTCCCACTGGATTTCCACTTAATTCCCAATATGGCAACTCTCAGAAACTGTAACTAACAATTATTCTCAGTATCAATGAGTCTGTAGCCAATCCCAGCTGACATCAGGCAAAAGGCGGAGTACACCCTGGACAGGTCGCCAGTCCATCGCAGGGCCACACATATACAAACAACCACTCACATTCTCACTCACACCTAAGGGCAATTTAGATACACAAATAAACCTAGCCTGCTTGTTTTTAGACGGTGGGAGGAAGCCAGAGCACCCGGAGAGAACCCACACAGACACGGGGAGAACACAGAAAGCCATGGAACGACCTAGGCTGGAACCCACAACCTTCTAACCAAGTCTGAAATATGTCCTATTTAAATAATGCAAAAGTGTATAAAAGCAAGTTCAAAAATAGGCTTTCACCCACTTAATCAACTAATTGTTTCAGTACAGTTTGTGGATTCTACTCTTGCTTTCTTTAAATGTTTAAAACCATAGGCCGTATTAAACATGGACTTAGCGTCCATGACGTGGCTAATAGATTTCAGAGGCTCCCGCTGTTGCCATCTTGGCAGTGCCTGAATCTGGCTAACCCGAAAATGGGCAAAGAGGTGGAGCTGAGGTGGGCCGAATGAAGCCCAGTTCCTGAACGATCTCGCGGCTAGCCACCAGTGAGGACACCAACCTGTCACTCAAAGCGAACTTTAAGCCTTAATGTAATTTAAACAGGTGAGCTATATAAAAATTCACACATTCCCCGTATAGTTGTCATGAAGGGGGAAATTAAATGAAGAGACCAAACCCGTTTTTTATGCCAGTTGTTAACATGTTTATTTCTGCTGTAAAGTCAGGCATTTTATTATGGGCTCTTAATTACTTAAACAATTTACAAATGGTGTCTTTTTTTCTTAGTGCCTATTGCTCCGTTATTCTGTCTTCCTCACCATGTTTACCTCTCTTCTTATCCTTGTTTTTCATCTGCATCTCTCCCTCATACATCCCTCTACGCTCCTCCCCTCCTTCCTTTCCATCTTATCTCTCTTTACCTCTCTGTCCCGTCCTCTTCACCTCCCCGTCACCTCTCCACAGCTCTTATCTCTGCCTTGGTGACATTATCGGAACCAAGGGCCAAATGCTGAGTGACAGATTGACTGACTTATATGGGCACAGGTATACAGGCTCAAAGATAGATAGATAGCTAGCAAGCCATGCAAATTAGCTGGTAGGCAGACTTGTAGTCATAAAAAGAGAGAGAGAGAGAGCGAGAGAGGCAGACAGGCGCATGGACAGACAGGGCAGCTGGCACGCCGACATGTTGGTAGGCTTTCCACCAGAAGAGAAGCAGACAAAACGGCTGTGGCTATCAAGAATTGAAACATTTGAGACATGTAGCTTTAGAGTGTACCCAGAGTGACTTCCAATAAGTGTAGCAGAAATAGTGTGTGTGTGTGTGTGTGTGTGTGTGTGTGTGTGTGTGTGTGTGTGTGTGTGTGTGTGTGTGTGTGTGTGTCACGGCGGATATGGAGCCAGGAGGGGCAGAAGCAGACATCCCAAACATGATGGGCATGTAGTTACTTAGACACTTTCCACTGCTGACCACCCAAATTGACACACACAGCCGTCGGCATGGAGACCACCAGCACTCTGTGTGTGTGTGTGTGTGCACTCTGTGGATGAGGATTTATGTGCAAATTTGTGATTCAGACTGTCTGTCTCCGTGGTTGTGTGCACATTAACATGATCTCCAGGCAACAGGTCAACTCTGTGATTGGTTGGAAGCTGTGGAGCCCCACCCACTCACCGATGCATATCAATGATAAGTGTCATTGTGACTCTCTGAAGTCTGCTCTGAACACATTTTTAGCACAACTACATGCTTCAGTAAACATTATTTGGGAAGTGTATTAATCCAAAATGTGAGTCAATATAAATTGAATCAAAATAGTGCTGGGTCTTTAAACATATGACAACATTTATGTACATGCACAAATAAGCATGCATATGAATACAAAAACTTTAAGGCATAAGATTAAAGCAAAATTGAAAGAAAGGAAAGGGAAAATGAGGCAGATGAGTAGATCAAGGACACAAATGTAAACCGATAAAAAGAGACAGAAAGACAGGGATAAAATGGAATACCTCATAATATTAGCTATGTGGACGACACGTTTGTGTACTTGCTTTCCACTGGGCACAAGACATCAAAATCTATTAGCAGGACTAGACTGGATTACCTCAGCTATGTGTGTGTGTGTGTGTGTGTCTGTGTGTGTGTGTGTGCATGCATGCATGTTAACTGAGCCCTAGCTTACTGTCACATGTCACTTATACTCTGTTGTTATGTGATCTTTGGCTGGGATGGGCTATTGGCTGCGTGTGTGCCTCGCCCTCTCTTTCTCTGTGGTCCAAAACACATCGTATTCAGCAGGTTTTCATGAATATTTTCACCATTTAGTTAACATATTTACCAGAGGAACTGGCAATAAGAGCAGCATTAGAATTTGCTGATATGTTCTTGTCAAAAGACATGAAAAGGACATCGCAAACCAAACAAAAACAGAAAATTTTAACACGATGCTCCCAGTGCCAGCAGTTGGTTGATGATTGGTTTTAGTGATTTAGGCAGAGCGAGAGGTTAAAACTACATCTGTGTAGTGGTGTCATGCAGGCAAATCAGGCACTTCCCTTTTACAGTTTTATATATTTATCTTGCTGGCACGGTTTGAGTAGAATTATATGAAAATAAAAACAAAGTGCCCCTAGCTTTCTTTCCTCTGACCACACAGTAGAAGTTGTACAGAACAGTGAACGTTGAGTGATTTTGGGTATTGGGGATTTTGCACCTAACCATCATGTGATTTATTGAATGAAATAACATTGGTGGGGGAAAAAGGGAGCTTGGTACTGCTAACAAAAAGGTGGTAAAAAGTTTTTCAGCCACGGGTACTTTTTCTGTGACAACAAGCCATTGGCTGCGTCTGCGACATCGTTGATTGATTAAGGGAGTGAATGGACCTGTACTGCCATACAACTGTTTTTTGCAGTGCGAAATAAAACTATTCTTTTCGTGGATAGAGAAACTCACCTGTTAAATATCTTAAAACTTAATTTGTCATTCTCTTCTCCAGACGAGGTCCGTTGGATCCAGCTGATTACCCCATGCAGCCCTGGTCAGGTCATTACCCCGGACCTCCCCAAGCCCCAAAGGGATACCCTCAGTCCCCGTCCTACCCTAACCCCAACTGCCTGTCTGGTCCATCTTACTCGGGGTACCCACCTGGCCAACCATATGCACGGCCAGGTGACCATCGGGGCGTCGACCCTGGGTACTACCCCCACCCAAAGTAATTAAAAAGTTCCTTTATATCACATGAACCATAATGCTGCACACAGAGTTTATACTGTGACATGAGTCAGAAATGAGGGGTGGTCTGAAAGTAAGGCACGACCTCTTACCTACTGTCTTAAATTTTTGATAATAACTTTGCTCATCCTTGTTTTAGTTATTATAGCTTCAGCTTTTATTACACTGGTAAATCATTTATTGTTTTCTCTGCCTTTTATTGTGAAGCAGCAACACCTGTCCTCACCAGTTCTTTCTCATATTGTGATAACGGTTGACCTCTTGTTTTCTGCTCCTAGCTCCCAGCAGAGAGGCCCCTTGCGGCAGGATGTGCCCCCATCTCCTACCCCTCCACATCGCGGACCACGATACGACACCATGACGCGTGGTACCGGGGGTGGTTACAGGTAGGGCCGATTTGTGGATGAAGATGATCCCAGATAAATTCTACGAGAGATCTAAAATCCTCCTATGTTTGACGAATGACTCTGTTTATCACTTTGTAACACGTGAAGAGTGTTCTGGAAATTATATTTTTGAAATGTATAGAATATGATGGTCTATTAATTCTAGTCTATCAATTCTACAGCAATACATTTTAAGTAAGACCACAAGAATTCACTAAGCCCCGGATAAATCTGAGAACATGTTTGATTGGCTACAGGCACCTGGTGGATCCCGGTCCAGAACAATATGGCTATACTGGGGAGGGAGGAAGACAGCAACAGCAACACCAAACCAACCCGAGACAGAAGAATGCCATGACTGCAGCTGTGTAGACCAATCAGGTCCAGAGATGAAAATGAGCAGAATGCTAACTGCTTTGTGTGCAGCTCTTCTGCTTTTGGTACGCCAGTGAAATAGAGCTGAAACCTCTTAATGGTGTTATTTGAATCACCATCATTATCAAACATTGTCTTAGCTGTTTGAAGTATATGGTAATACACAGACATGCAAGGTAAAGGAGGTTAATTATAGAGTGGCCGTTGTGATGCATACTGTCTTGTTGTTTGAAGTCATTTAAATTGCTTTGAGTCTTCACTGTGTATAAAATTAGCAGCGTTTCTACTTTTCACTATGGTCTGATTAAGTCGTCTCTTGGAAGAATCAGTCAGAGCCACTGAGGTAATTGGATCCATTTAAATGAAGGCAATGAAGGAATACATACAGCTCCACACACGCTCACATTGTACCTGGTGGTTTCACTGCTGCCGCTTCACGAACAAGAGAAATTTAACATTCAGAAATGTTACATGTTAACCTTGCGGCAAAGTTTGTGGCCATTCACAGATATAAATGACAACTTTTAGTTTTAGTATTTTTGTGTGAGAAAGCCAAATTTATTCTCAAGACTGAAGCTGTTTGTGTTTACAAAAAAAAGTGAGAGGCTTTGAGTCTCCTCTTGAGGGTGAGCTGGGATGTAGAAGATGATGAAAAAAAGTCCATGTTCTTTGGTTACACAACTGTGCTCTGTTGGTAACAGCTGCTGACGCAAAACATAATCATAACTCATACAATTACAAGGCAGTATATCCATCCGTACATTATACTACACTGCATTATACATTTGGGTGACAGTCTGTTATTAAATGAAGTGCATTTTAAGGCCTATTGTCAATTTACCAAACAGGGAGAACGCCACTACACCAATCTCTATGAGTAAGTACAGATTTTGTAATCGTGACTAGTCTGATACATCACGTACAGTGTAATTTCGTCAATGAATTATGGGAAGCTTTTAATAATTGAAGTGCACTGACGCAGAGAGGCGCACTGTATGAATTATCTCTGCATGTAATAATGTGTTTTTAATAATGCTATGATTGCCTTTCATTTCTATCCAAAATAATTCTCTCAATAGAGAGGAGTTGAAAAATATTTTTTAGTACAGGGCTAGATATAGTCCAAGTCTGAAACCACGCCTGCCTGTTGGTTTACAGCACCTATGAATGATCCTGTTGCTGCTTTAAAATGATCCCGGAATGACATTTCAAATGATATAGTAGTACTAAATCTCAGATCTACATTCAATTTATTTACAATGACCTCTACTTGAGTGTATGAGAACCTCTTGCATTACATTTTCACAGTCATCTGTACTAAATCCATGGAGTCAGCCTGTGTTTATTGAATCATTCCAGCGTGATTGGATTTTTTGCTCACTTTTTTGTTTTCTATCGGACATCCAGTTCAGAGATAATCCACTGCTTTAAACAAGAAGCTGACAACCACATTTTTCACCAGAATGCTAATATCAACCTTCAAACTTTGACGTTCTGGAAGAAGCTCCATTAAGAACAAGACGACCTCCTGTGAAATTAAAACCCAAAGCGAGACAATTCCAACACATTCATTCATTTCACGCTGCTAGTTTTTTAGACAATATTTGTTTCAAAATATAAACTCTTTAAAACACCTAAATTATCACAGAAGGGCACATATGTGATAACGGTGCTTAAACATGATAGACAGCAAAGTAAAATTAGTTGGGGGATACAGGATCAAAAACACCATTAACCAAACCACTACTTTGGGCAATTGTGTCACATGATTTTCACGCTAAATGTAGAGTAAAATGTTCATGCCTTGGAGAGTCCTACTGTTGGATAAACCAGGCAGAGAAGGCATATCTTTCTTTTCTTTCAGCTCAGTTTCATTCTGTATTACTTAGCAGCCTCTTTCTCCCTGTGTTGTCTGTGTATGCCATGTACTGTATTTTGGATGTGACGGATGTTCCTGGCACGTCTCTGTGACCTGGTGGTGTAGGCGTCACTATGTGTTGAAGTGCACACAAGGCCTGTTGAAAGATGAATTGAGCTTCAGAGTGCTCTTCACAGTGCTGCACCATAGTGCATATCCATTTAGCCACTTACTAAACCATCAATTAAGTGTAACTAAGAGTTAGAGTCTAGCTTAACATTTCCGCGTTTCACTCCACAAAGCTCAGCAGTATTACTTTCAATGGAGATTAAATGTTACAAATGACATTTCAGGATTAGGGGAATTGCATTTCTCTTAATATGACTGAGGATGACATATCACTAGTGAATGTTGACAGATACCCTTGCACAAGAATGTGAAGTAGATTTTGTCTCAAAATCATCTCATTTGTTTGTTCTTGATTGGAAAGAGACGGGCAGGTAGGATTGATGGGTTAAAAGAAAAAGTGAAAAGAGGTAAGAAAGGAATAGAAGTGAGGGATAGGTAGAGCAAGGAAGAAAAAAATAAGCAAAAGAATGCAGAGAGGGAAGAGGGGTATTGATAAAGAGGGATTAAAGCAACAAGTAATAGACTGAAAGTATGGATGGAGGGAGGTGGAAGAAATGGTAAGAACAGATGCAATGTGATGACCCCCAATGCCTTTGTGGTTCACAATGGTTTGATTCAGAAAGTTTTCAAACAAGAACAGACCGCAGGAAAGAATGAAAGTTCATAAAAATAAGGGCGGCAGTTGTTCTGCAGTAGGAGGAGGGTTACAGGAGTGGGCTTGTATTGACAGAATGTAATGACTAAGGGGAATTACTGAAAAATATTTGTCTTTTTCATGCTGTTATCACTTTTCATTACCAATATGGAAATCAATCTGCCAAAACAAACTGATGTATTTCTGAACGTACAATAATAAAGCAGATTTTTAGGAGATTGACCTGGTGGTGAACTCACCTGTCAAGCAAAGACACCAAAATAATTCACATGCCCCTTTAGATCATTCACTCCTTTGTTCAGACACTAGGCTAGCACTTTAAGGTACTATGTGGAATTTTCAGAAAATCCTTGTTATTTGCGACACCTGTGGCTGTAAAGTGAACTGCAGTCAGCATCGCAAGCAACAGGATGCCTAGTCCAGGCAAAGTCAGCCAATCGGACCAATAACTGCACGGCTAACTGAGCTAAATAGCTAATGGCAGCTAAGGTTAGCAGACGTTAGCGGTTACTTTAGCAACAGGGAAAGCTATCTGTCCATCAGGAAACTCCGTAAATATGATCCAGTTTCACCAAAATCAGTGAATAAAGTTATAAAGTTGTGTTTTTGTACAGTAATCGGTGAGGCCCAGCCACCAGAATCTGTATAATCTGTAGTTTTTGCAACCTTATTCTTGTCTCATTTGTTGTTTGACAAACAATAAATTCACCAAATTCTGTGCCCAATATCGCTATTTGCCAAATTACTGCAGCTGTCATGGTGATAGTTGACTCAATTTCTAAGCTAATGTTAGCAAGTGTAGGGCACTCTGGAGTGAGCATAAATCTCACATCCTTTAGATTTGGAGTATTAGCAACCGAGAAAGTTGGGGAAGGTCTTATTTCTTTATGTTACATAACAGTCTGTTCATACTTTGGCAATCCGGAGATAAAATGTGTGAATCTGTTGCCAATGTACCAAACAGAGAGTTATGTTCATTACCAAAAGGTCAGTTTTATTACTTTGGATAGTCATAGTGGTAATACATGGTAAAGAATGAGGGGGAAATGATCTACTAGGGTAACATGAACAGTTTTGGTGTCATCATCCGAAGATGTATTGCACTTCTTTAAGACAGAATGCAAAGATGGAAGATTTAATTGGCAGTCTTCTGTACTGTGTGTATCTTAATGCTGGGTCAGTTACTGGTGAAGCTTTGCTGAGCTACAGTATATTGAAATTTGAATGTTTCATGGAGGTGTATTATTGTTACTCTTCTGATACTAGTTCACAATTCACATGTATGTTACTCTTCACAAGCATATATTTTTCATGTATTTCTTTTTAATGATAGTCTGTGTTGTTGGTTGGGTATACCAGAGCTGCAGAGTGTTTGGCCACTGTTACCATGCTACTGTCACAAAGAGGTACACTGTATAGTTTTCCTTTTCCAAATTTAAGTCATGTTGGTTTTGTTTAATTTTATACCAGTTTATATAACTGTACAACTTGATTTGCCAAAAATTGGGAAGGAAAATACAAAGAAAATACATTGTGGCACTTTGCCTAACATGGTTAATATATCAAACATTCTGTAAGTATGGCTTTGGTTTTTGGTAGGATAAAAGGATTTGCACAAGCTGAAGGTACTAACCAGAGTTTTCTGTTTGAAGAGTTCTGGTACTTCTGGTTCTCCCTGTACAGAGACCGGCGCATGAAGGAACCAACTAAACAACCTCTCTGTCTTAGAAGTATAACTTTTTTATTAACGTGCTTGTATCCAAAAAGAAAGAAAAAACAAATCTCATTTTATAATGTTGTAACAACAATGATTTCTATTATTCTTTTCCTGCATTTTATATTTATGTATATAACATCTTTTTTGCATTAAAATATTCCTTTTAAAACAGGATTTGCCAATGATGTCATACTTTAATTGTTTTAAATGTGGTTCTTTTTTAAGCTACAATGCATGCCCAGCACATCTGCTTAAGGTTAATTAAATATGAGTCAGGAGAAATTATTTCCCTCATGTCCCCCATACACTGCAAGGTGAATCATTAACATTGCCAACCCAATTTAGTCCATCATTTAAGCGGCTGATAAATTGTACCTTTGTGATAAGAGATAGATGTTGGCCCCAAATTAATGCAAGACTAATTATCAATTAGAAAAAGAAGATAAAGAACAGTGATTGCGGCACAAAGTTTTTTTAGTCTTTTTGGCGTAGTGCCATCAAACTGCTAGGTCATATCCCTCCGATTAATAAGTATTTAGTCACAGCCTGTGGCTTGAGGTCCTTTCTTATTTATCAGACACTATGGGTGCTGGACTCGGGCTGCAATCAGAGAAGTTACCAGTAATGAGACACAGAGGCCAAGGGAATGTTTTATCAGTCAAAGCTTAATTGGCATATCCCAGACCTCTTGGCCAATGGGGAGAGGGAGAGGAAGTAATTAAATTCTCCTGAGTAGCTGCCAAGGTTTATTTTGTGCACAGTGTTTAATATAGATCAGCAAAGTGTGTCTGTGTGTTTGTGTATTTTCAATATTCTGATTATAATGACTATTTAAGCCCTGGTATTTGTGTTAATGCATGTCAGAACTTAAATTAGTTAAAGAGATTAATTGCTGGGTAGCCTACTTCTGGGCTGTCTGGATCAAACATGTCACTGAAATAGAGCAAATGAAGAGAGTGTGGAAAGACTGAACGACTGGTTGGCTGACTGTTTACTGATAAGCTTTTGACTCCATAGCTGGCTCCCTCAATCTCTGTTTAAATTATATTTTTGATTTTACCACTGCATTTAAAGACTTCCAATGAAAATACTTAATACTTTTTGACTTGTGACCCCTCACGTATCCTAATACATGGTAATCATTAGCTGTGCTAAGAATCGTCGGCGTCAACATCGGGCTTCCAGAACTTTAATCTGGCATCAAATCTTTCTGATAGAAGAAAGGATCTATAATGATCACCACATGAAAAATAATTTAATTCCCGACCACCCCCAAACCTTAGAGCTGTCTGTGTGTGGATGAAGAGAGACTGAGGGAGTGGGTGGGACTGTGTAAAGTCCTCTTATATACAAGCTCAGTTAGTCCATCTGCGGCCCTCATTTGGCATGGACTCATGGTGTGCAATTCTGCTTCCGCTCGGCTGCCAGCTCACATAGCAGTAGGCTTGGGCTGTATCTGTTTTTTCATACCGTCCTGACATTTCACCCGATATACACTGTATGAACAGTATATGATGGTGTTTGTGTAAAAAACAACAACTAAACAACGTAAAAGCTGAGCTGATGGTGAAAGAAAGGTCAGACGACAGCTCCAGGCAGCAATACTCACGACTCTTCTGCTACTATAGCTAACATCACAACATCAGCACATCTTGGCAAGCTAGAAATTAAGCTGAATGTCTGTAGGCAAGTTATTTAACGTTATCGGACACACAAATTATCGGTCCAATCCAATGCCATTAGATTTCTGCTACACTGCCTCCCTTTGTGTGTGGTAAGGTGGACGACAATCTGTTTTCTGACTGCAGTGAATTATTTTTTGAAAGGCTGAACGCCAACAAACATGTTGTGAATTTTGGAAATAATCTATCATTTTTTCAATAAAGTTAGGCTTTTGAACTTTACAGCACTCTGGATTTATTTTGCTAATTTAATGGTCAGCTCTGAAGAACAAGTCGCAGCCACTGCTCAGGGGAATAGCTTGTAGAGCTTTACATACGCACACACCTGTGTGTTGGGCATACAGCGTCTTCGTAACAGTTTAACCGAAAGACAGCCGTCTGTATACCTGACAATCTCGAAAATCATGACTTTGGGATTTCCAAATACCCTGGTATACCGTAATGCCTTACACAGCAGCAGTACTGCCCCTAGATTTGAGAACCACTAGCTAAGCAAACCCTAACTACAGGTGCTGTTCATATAATTAGAATATCATCAAAAACTTGATTTATTTCAGTAATTCCATTCAAAAAGTGAAACTTGTATAATGTATACATTCATTCCACACAGACTGATATATTTCAAGTGTTCATTCCTTTTAATTTTGATGATTATAACTGACAACTAATGAAACCCCAAAATCAGTATCTCAGAAAATTTGAATACTGTGAAAAAGTTCAATATTGAAGACACCTGGTGCCACACTCTAATCAGCTAATTAACTCAAAACACCTGCAAAGGCCTTTAAATGATCTCTCAGTCTAGTTCTGTAGGCTACACAATCATGGGGAAGACTGCTGACTTGACAGCTGTCCAAAAGACGACCATTGACACCTTGCACAAGGAGGGCAAGACACAAGAGGTCATTGCTAAAGAGGCTGGCTGTTCACAGAGCTCTGTGTCCAAGCACATTAATAGAGAGGCGAAGGGAAGGAAAAGATGTGGTAGAAAAAAGTGTACAAGCAATAGGGATAACCGCACCCTGGAGAGGATTGTGAAACAAAACCCATTCAAAAATGTGGGGGAGATTCACAAAGAGTGGACTGCAGCTGGAGTCAGTGCTTCAAGAACCACCACGCATAGACGTATGCAAGACATGGGTTTCAGCTGTCGCATTCCTTGTGTCAAGCCACTCTTGAACAAGACACAGCCTCAGGAGCGTCTCGCCTGGGCTAAAGACAAAAAGGACTGGACTGCTGCTGAGTGGTCCAAAGTTATGTTCTCTGATGAAAGTAAATTTTGCATTTCCTTTGGAAATCAAGGTCCCAGAGTCTGGAGGAAGAGACGAGAGGCACAGAATCCACGTTGCTTGAAGTCCAGTGTAAAGTTTCACAGTCAGAGATGGTTTGGGGTGCCATGTCATCTGCTGGTGTTGGTCCACTGTGTTTTCTGAGGTCCAAGTTCAACGCAGCCGTCTACCAGGAAGTTTTAGAGCACTTCATGCTTCCTGCTGCTGACCAACTTTATGGAGATGCAGATTTCAGTTTCCAACAGGACTTGGCACCTGCACACAGTGCAAAGCTACTAGTACCTGGTTTAAGGACCATGGTGTCGCTGTTCTTAATTGGCCAGCAAACTGGCCTGACCTTAACCCTATAGAAAATCTATGGGGTATTGTGAAGAGGAAGATGCGATACGCCAAACCCAACAATGCAGAAGAGCTGAAGGCCACTATCAGAGCAACCTGTGCTCTCATAACACCTGAGCAGTGCCACAGACTGATCGACTCCATGCCACGCCACATTGCTGCAGTAATTCAGGCAAAAGGAGCCCCAACTAAGTATTGAGTGCTGTACATGCTCATACTTTTTATGTTCATACTTTTCAGTTGGCCAACATTTCTAAAAATTCTTTTTTTGTATTGGTCTTTAGTAATATTCTAATTTTCAGAGATCCTGAATTTGGGATTTTCATTAGTTTTCAGTTTTAATCATCACAATTAAATGAAATAAACATTTGAAATATATCAGTCTGTGTGTAATGAATGAATATAATATCCAAGTTTCACTTTTTGAATGGAATTACTGAAATAAATCAACTTTTTGATGATATTCTAATTATATGACCAGCACCTGTACATAATATCTGTGAAATCTACAGCTGGTGCATTCTGACATTTTTGCCGGAGAACGTGACTAAGCTAACATTACTGCGACATGTCAACAAGCAAATTGACCCCTCACTAAGCCACGCCACGAATACGCAGCTGGCCAATCACAGCGCAGTATGGGACTCGCTCTAACTGAGGTCTGACATTTTCATGGCTGCGCTCCATTGACTCAGATGCAAAAGGCGTTGTTTTGTTGCTTTTTTTTTGGTGTATTTTTCCAACATCTGGTCCAACGATTTTAAGGAGTAAAGCTCCTTAATATCGTTGTTTCAATCGTCAGGTGATGCGGTGGTTCACTTTTACTCTGTGATCGGTAGCCTTTACCTTCTGACTTTATTTGTTTCACGTCAGTTTGACAGCCTGAATACAAATTTCAAATGTATAATGCAAACCTTTCTGTCTCCTTTCTGAGATCACCTTTTTAATTTTTCCAAAAATTAGACAATATTACTTCAGGGAGTGCAGTTATAAACAGTGGCAGTGTAGTGATAAATAAGACAGGATTTGTTGTTTTATTTGTAGCTAAAGCAAGCACAAAGTGCTAAACATTTCAGATATCAAATAAAAATAAAAATAAAGGTTTTATTTTGAATGAAATATAATATTTGTAGTAGTCATTCAATGCAGTTAAAAAAAAATAAATATATGCAGTAGTGTTCCAGGCACACCCCCTGACCTCAGCCCAAGAAGGTCTGGGCTTGTATCCCCAGTGGTTGGTAAATCTTTTGAGTGATGCTTTGTTTGAGAGACTGTCAAACGGCCTGGTTGACTCACTGACTGGCTGTATGAACTAGTCACTGACTGACTGGGTGTGTAATTGCTCCAGCCTCCCTCCCAGGGCAGCTTTGGCATGCTGTAATTATTAGCAGTTATTATTAGTAGTTTTAATAATCACTGGAAGCCATTGTAATTAGGATTTGCTATTATGAGTGGCTGCCAGTTTGTGGACGTGTGAGTGTGAGTGTGTGTGTGTCAACTTGGCAAGGTATTGTTCAGTTCAGTAGCTATTATTGGCAGCCTGGCAGTTTGGTTTTTGTTCCTTTGACTTGTGATTGTTTTTCATGTACGCACTGTGTTTGAAGGCCGTCCTTGGAACTATCCGACCTCCCGAAAACCTCATTAATTATAGTCAACTTACAATTTTGTTTTCTCTATGACTGTGGACTTTTTATCATGTTAATACAAAATTGCCATTGTTCATGTTTGTTGCCTCTGGAACTTTAGTGAGTTTAACACTGACTGAAACCGATGATGCAGTTCTTCAACACTGTACAAATCAGCATTGATATGCAGAAGTGATACACAAGGACAAATGTCATGTTTCCATTAAGTTGATTCCATT